TGCTAACCAGTGACAGACAATAGGGCGCTACTCGTATTCCGTTAGCAATGGAAATACTTTTTTTGGTGGCGTAGTAGCCAGTTACTTCTTTGATACAACGAAAACTGTAGGGATAATCTCTTTTCAACAGCATTAAACAGCGATAACTTACGCTATTCTCATTTGTAAGTGTTTAAGGAAACCACTTATCGTCTAAACTCCCGCTAACTTGTTACTTTATGGCCACAAGCAAGTACTTATTTTTGCCAACATCTAGATATTTCAAAGCATATTTGAGCTTTAGCACTGGCAAGTACTAAATGCGAACTTATCGTACTCGTACTCGTCTTAACGGGTAACAGTTGAATATTCAATCATACCTCAAGTGCTTACTATAAGTGCTCCACTCGCACTCCATCTGACCTCAATAATTTAAGTGACCTTAAGCAAGTTATTTGACAGTGCGGTAAAGTTTTCTTCAAATCTGTTCTCACTAGGTAAATACCTAATAGCAGCCAAGCGATAGACTTTCAAACGAAATGCTAAGCGTGTTGAAGGTGAATGAGAAGATGTAATGTGGGTTGTTGCTGTTTGTTTGTTGATCGTTGGATTTTGTGGTCGCGTATTCGTTATTTTGTTGAGCTTTGTTTTTCTGCTGACCGATGATGCATATTGTTGAAAAAGATTTTTTGCTACTGTATGAACGATTAAAGGTTTTGACTGTTTGAGGACGTAGTGAGGTTTTCTCCAGGACAAATCAACAACGTGATTGCAAAGGTTGAGAGAGGATTTGAAACTAACGATCAACGGAGTGATTTTGATCAGTAATGCTTTAGCAAAAACCACCGCTACTTTTTTCAGATTAGCGATAGTTTTAGCGAGAAGTTTTCGCCGCTTGTTTNTAGCAAAACAAAGATGTTCTTGTCTGGCGAGTTATCGGTAAACGGAACGAACCACTTATCTTCACAGTAGCTTGCCCATCACTAGTGCTAATTGACGAGCAATCTCATTGAATATGTTGTAACTGCTTCAGAAATTTCACCCCGTACAAACATCAGTGGTTCACATAGCGATTGATTCTGCGATGTGATGTGATGATGCGAACTTACAAATTATAGTATCTGAATTGCTCGGCGATTGCGCGGATGGCGAATTCGGCATCATCGACAAAACTGTGACTTGTGCTCGCGCTACTCTGCTGTTGACATGGTGATAGTTGCTCACCGGTCGAAAAATCGATCGCAATCGCCACGTGCAGCAACGAACTGAAACTTGCATGTTCGATCGATCGATTGAACCGAATTTTAATCAAATTCACAATTCACTTTCCGATTGCTGAATATTCCTAGCAGCTATAGTGTATTATTTAAATCACTTCACACAGGTAGTAGGAATGTGTTCAGCCGAAACGTTGCGCATTCAATAAAACACTTCAACCTGTCATGTGATTCCAGTTAATTTACAAGACAATATGAGCAAGTAGAACAGGTTAAGATTTTAGATGGTAAACATCCCATCATAATATTGTATATAAGAATATAGATTCAAGAAGAATGCGAACCCGTTGAAGATGTAATCAAGAAACGAGTAGACAACCATCTCATTGCATTTCACGACTTCAAATGTCCCAGTTGTCTTTCGACCAAATTTTGAAGAAACCGTCGTCAACTGCAAAATGGCATAAAGTACATACTTCTATTCGATTACCAAAGGATGAAGCTGATACTTGATGAAGCTGATAGTAACTGATATGAAGAACTTCCTCTACAAACTCGTTCAAAACGCTCACTTCGGAAAGTATAACACAAGGACCAGGTGCACTGTTACAGCATTATAAAGGTGCTAATAATGACAAAATACATCTTCAAAATTCAGTCCCAGATCTTCTAAAGTCCAATTTCCCAAGGCACTGTGGAGCAAGCCTCTGCTCGTTGTCGAAATGATCTTCTGGTGGAACTGATTCTTCAGTTCATGATGACGTTAAATGAGCAGATTAAATAAAACAACGACTGATCAAAGAATGCGTTATTTGCGTACAAAGAGTACGTTCTGT